TATGGCATCTCGAAAATTACATGTAGCGCTTCTTTGACGAAGCTCACCACACATTGCGAACAATTCCCACTACTATTTGCCGGTCTTCCGACTGTAAGTTGGGATTTTTACGGCCGTTTAATACTTCTGCTGTATATTGTTAATGTTGTTAATCGCGCCAGGGGCGTTGACTGTTGCGCTGGGGGCATCGCTGGCACTGACGGTGCCGATGTTAACATTATATACATGGGGGCTACCGGCTTCCGACCTCAATTGGTGACTCTGTGATTGTTGGAGACGTCGTTGATGATAATGTCTGCTGATGGTTCGGGTGCCAATGGCACTGTTGATATAGACGCCAAATTCAAATTCCCCCCGAGCACTCTTAATTACTATTTTCTTACATGAATGCGGAGCAGCGTCGCGCCTGATGCGTCGGAGGAGTTCTTCGAAGGTAATGTTGATGGCGACTGGCGGTACGCCATAGTACTCCCGCTCAGTCCAGGGACTTTTGTCCGCGTCCGCACCAATTGATGATGTCGATGATGTTGATGACATCGGGAGTATAGATGGGGCACTGTTAATGTCAACGTGGACCCGGATGAGCCTTGTTGCTGTTATTAGTGATATAGACCCGGGGGCCCTGTTGCTGTTGTTAGTGATAGAACCGGGTGCCCCTTTCTTTGAAGCAATATATTAATTATTGGTATAAATGATCTCGAACTTGTCCTCCTCTTCGTTATCACCCGGGGGTCCCTGTTGCTGTTGCTGATGATATAGATAATGACGTGGTGGGAGGCCTGTTCATATAATTATAGTTAAAAGGCTGTCATTTAAAACATGGGTTATTTTTTAATAGACAGACAATATGGAATTATTGTTATATACGAGTTGTAGCGTGCTGTGTAATCGTTGGTGGGTAAGAAATAATTAATCTCCTCTTCATTTGCATACACGCAGTCACTGAGCCGAGCACTCAGGGGTTGGTCTGAGCAGATTTCAAACTCCCCCCGAGCACTCTTACATGAGTACGAGGCAGGTCGCGCTTGATGCGCCGGAGGAGTTCTTCGAAGCGACTGGTGGTACGCCATAGCACTTCATTGTCCGCCCGCTCATATGTATAATAAGTCTTTATGTTTTGTAATATAGTTCTTGTATGAATAATATAGAATTATGTACTTTTATACGTAATTAAGCACTTTGTTGATGCGATGTGCACCTTTAGCGTTCACTCGTAGGTGCAATCAATAAAGAACACAAACCACCAGGGACTTTTGTACGCGTCCAGCAAAATTAACCAATGAGCGGCTTGAAAAGGTTGTGTAATGTGCAGATTTCCTCTCTGGAAAGATGTTTATTTTGAATTTCCTAATTAGGTTCGACTAGCCTAACGCTAATTGAGAATCTTCTGCTGATAATTTCTAAATAGGGATTTACATCCTCATGACTTAGGGCGCTCTCACCAGTTTATCGAGCCAATCGAATTTGGAAATCAGTTTATTGTTGGCAAGACAGCGCTCAGCGGCTATATTACGAAAACGGTAATAATAAAAAATTACACTCGCCAATCACAAGGCCCTATTCATTTCATGTTCCTGTTTCTATTCCCATTTTGTCCACTTTCCAAATTTAGGTCTGATATCTAATTTAGGTAATAAAAAGTGGGAACAAACTTGAACACAAGATACGCGCAAAAAAAAAAGATTGACACCATCACTTATGCCAATGTCAACTTCATAAGTGAAAGGACTCCACGACTCGTGTTATATTTTCAAATGCTTTGGCAAGACCATTGAGTCATTTCCTGCTGAAACATCATTCACGACCAACGTCTCAGGAATACATGCGCAAAGTATTTCTACGTAAAATTGAGCGCCCGTAATCTGCAGGAAACAAAAACAGACTTGTTTTACCTTGTGGCAGCGGAAAGCTTTTTGGGGCGAAAGAGAGGGTAAACATGTGGGCTAACCAGAATACCCGGGTTCAGTTTATTCAATCAACATTTAATTATATTGTTGTTTTATTATGTGGTGTAATAAAACTTTAAATCTGAATTAATATAATTTAGAAAACACTTTTCTATCGAACAAACGTCAGACTTATTTCATGTAAAAGCGAAGGCTATTTCTATGTTAACTGTGATATGAATTAAAGCAAATATTGTGAGCAATGCCCCGAAAAAGCCTGCTGGAGACATATGGTCACGACTATTAAAAACTGGTTTTCGATAATGACGTTTTGATATCAACTAACATACGTATATATTACCATTTCAATAATGTCAACATCCTTTTTAGCTAATAACATAACGAGATCTATCTATAGGAAATATATAAATAGGTCGTTCTCATCAGTTACCTCCCCTACCAGATATGGGCCCTATTCATTTCATGTTCCGGTTTTTTTGTTCCCACTTCCATTTTTAGGCAGGAACAGGAAATGATATGAATACGTCAATTCTCTCTTATTTTGTTCCTGTAACTGAATGCGTACATGATCTGCAACTGACTACCAATCATTCTTTTTGGCTTAAATTCTGAGAACGAAAAAAAAAAATTTTTTTAATATCATTATGTCCATGAATAATAAGTCTCTGCTGTTATTTAAACAAGCACCGTTACTTGCAGACTCTTCTAGCAATAGTATTAGTATTAGTAGGTGGAGTCCTTTCACTTATGAAGTTGACATTGGCATAAGTGATGGTGT